ACAGCAGCAGCAGGGGCTGCTGAGGACAGCAGTGCTGGGGAGGAGGCTGGGCAGAGGAGCAGTGGCCAGGCTGGGGTACATTTGCTCCTGAGCAGCCTGAGTTCTATGGCTTGGAGTGGGTTGATTAGACCTTGTGGCAGGGACCTCCCTGATACGAGGTCCTCAAAGGAATCACCTGGTCTCCTTTTTTATGTGCCCTGAGCAAGGACACAGGACCCTCGAGCTACTGTAGTCCTCTCAGCTACTGTGTCAAGGCTGAGTGGATGTAGTGTAGACACACTGTGTTGAAGAGGCATCTCCAAGCTGAAGGGTTTGTCCTTTCTTTCTCCTGGAGTCTCCCTGGCAGGACAGGGTGTGTGTGACTGCTCTCTGTGCCACGGAAGCTGGGGTTCCATGAAGCCTCACCTGCCTTCCAGACACTTCCACCTATAAGGGATCGTTATTACTGGCCACAGGCTTTACAAGTAGGTTACACTGACAGAGTTGGCAGGGTTTTGATTGCTGGGCTCCGTCCCAGGGAGTTGGGTTCTTGGCCTGGTGTACAGGTCAACAGACTTTAATCCTTCTCTCCCTAGCCATGAGCTCAGTTTCCAGTCTGGGAGCCTTGTGGGGGTGGGGCCTTCTTTATCTTCTATGCTAGGGGTAGAAGCAGGGAAGTCTCCTTGCTTCAGTTTCCAAGGCAGCCTGCTCTTCCATAAATGGATTTTTGAATGATTTAGTTCAGCAGGAACTAAAGAGCACTCTTTATTTTCATCACCAAAGCCTGCATTTCTTAGAGGTACAGATTACAGGTTTAAAGGCCTAGAGCCTTTAAACCGAATCCAGGGTTCACAGAGCAATAGAAATCACTTACAAATGAATCTTGGAGGGTGGGAAGAAGACTCGGCATCAAGGGGCAGTGCACTTGGATTAGTGGAAGGGTTTCTATATCAGTTCATCCAGCCCTGAATCATGGCTCCCTGAGGGAAGTGAGAAGAGGAACTGCAGCTCCAGAGTTTGTACAAAGAGGAATGGGGGACGGGTGCCACCTGGCTGAGAAGGTGGGAAGCCTTGGGAGTCACCACGCTGACCCAGGAGCCATCTACTTCATATTGCTGGGACTTTTATTAGAAAATAGATTTGACTCTCAGTGTTCTGTCTCTAATCTGTGAATGGGACAGCAGGAATCAATTCACTTTAACCCCTACCCCCAGTTCTTTCTCAATTGATCATCTTCTTGGAATTTTATAAACCACTCCTCCTGTCTTGTTCCCATACTGCATGGCTTCAGCTATTCCTTTTATGCCTGGTGGGGTGTGACATTCTTTCTATATACTTGCCTGGCCTGAAGGTTATTCCAGTGACCAATACAGACCTCTTTCTGGAGAGTTCCATATTCAAGTAGCCCAGTGTCTCCTAGACAGCTTACCTAGCCATCTTTCAGGGAAAGACAGAACACATCAGAGAGGGAATTCATTGTCCTCCTAAACCCTGTCTCCCCACTATACCCATCACAGTAAGAGGGTGGCCCCACCCAACTGTCCAACTAGTGCGTATGACAGAGCTGATGTCAGCTTGCACACCTCCCTCCCCTATTTCATAACCATCTTTCTCCCTGCCATCTATTTGTAAGGCTCTGTCTCAAAGCTCTTGTTGATTTGCAAGGAATTTTTCATTTTGGAATTACTAGAGATTCACAGAGGGCACCCAAGTCCCTTCCATCCAGAATTTTTCAATGGTTACATTTTATGTAACCACATCAGAACCAGGAAGGTGCACTGACGCAGCTTTCCCTGTACTGCTCTAAGTTATTTTATCACTGTGTAAGTTTGTGTACTCACACCCCTGTCACACACTTTGCCCTACCTCCCTAACCCCTGGCAACTACTAATGTGTTGTGTCTCTATTTCAGTTTTTTTCCATGTGGAAGTGTTACAGGGACGGAGGCATACATACAGCATGTGGCCTTCTGCAGTGTTTTGCTCCTCTCAGAATCATGTCCTTGATGTCTATTTTATGTAAAACAGTTTCATTTTGGAGCAATAGCCTGTGGTTTGAATGTACCACAGTTGGTTCAGCTATTCACTTATTGGAGAACATTATGGTTGCTTCTGTTTTTTTTTTTTTTTTTTTGGTATTATAAATGAAGCTGTAATGAATAATTGTGGACAGAACTCCTGATTTCTCTGGGATAAATGCCTCAGAGAATAATTGCTGGGTTGTGTGGTAAGTGTATGTTTAGTTTTTAAAGAAACCACCAAGCTATTTTCCAGAGTGGCTCTACCATTTTACTTTTCCATTAGCAATGGATAAGAAATCCAATTTCTGCTCAGCCTCCCAAGTATTTGAATTGTCACTATTTTTCATTGTAGCTGTTATAATTAGTGTGGAGTGACATCTTATCCTGGTCTTAATTTGTTTCTTCATAAAGGCTAAAGATGTTAAGCATCTATTCACCTGCTTCTATGTGCCATTGTTTACCTTCTGACGAAATGTCACTCTTCATGTCTTCCATTTCCTTTATAAAAAATAACTTTAATTTTTTATAAGTACATGTTTGCCATACATAATAATTACATTCACAATGGGGAGTCAGTATGTGTACATAATACAACTTAATTCTTTTTATGTCCCTTTCCTCTCCCCCCTTCTCTTCTCTATCCTCCCGCCCTCCATCTCTTGGTCCTTTTATTAACTTATTCTTATTAATGTACTGAGGATTGAGCTCAAGCATGCTAGACGCATGCTCCACCACTGAGCCACCTCCATCTCTATTTGCCTGTTTTTGTTTTGTTTGTTTGTTTTTTTGGTGGAACCAGGAATTGAATTTAGGCCATTGGGCTTGCCAGGGAAGCACTTATCCTACTGAGCCATTTCCCCAGCCCCTTATTTGTCTGTTCTTAACTGTTGAAATTTGAGCGTCTTTATATATTCAGCAGTGTGGCCTGCAAACATTTTCTCTTCTTGTGTAGCTCATGTTTTCTTCTCAACAGGGTCTTTTGTACAGCAAAAGTGATTAGTTTTAAAGAAGTCCAACTTATCAATTTAGGGAATAGGATTTTTTTTTTTTTTTTAGTGGAACCAGGAATTGAACTCAGGTCCTCATGCTTGCCAGACAAGCGCTTATTCTACTGAGCTATCTCCCCAGCCCCAGGGATAAGGATTTTGGTGTCATACATACACCCTAGGTTGTGATGATTTTCTCACATTTTCTTCCAAAAATTTTATAGTTTTATATTTTACACTGACATCCATTATTTTATTTTGTTTTAATTAATTAATTAATTTTTTTTTTCAAAACCGAGGATTGAACTCAGGCCCTTGCACTTGCCAGGAAAGCGCTTATTCCATTGAGCCATCTCCCTGGTCCCCCATTATTTATTTTAAATTGTGTGTAAGATGTGAGATTTATGTCTAGGTTCACATTTTCCCCTCTGGATGTCCAATTGCTCCAGTATCATTGGTTAAAATGGCCACCCTGAGGCTGGGGAGATAGCTCGGCAGTCTAAGCGCCTGCTTGGCAAGTGCAAGGACCCGGGTTCGATCCTCAACATGTGCCTTGTTGGCCCTGGAACCCTGGGTGTGCCATGCCGGCTACTGAAACTGGGCATAGTGGCACATACCTGTAATCCCAGCACTGGGGAGGCTGAGACAGAAGGATCATTATGAATTGGAGCTGCGTAAGGAGACCCTGTACCAAATAAATAAATAAATAAATAAAATAAATGAAAGAAAGAAAGAAAGAAAGAGAAAGAAAGAAAGAAAATGGCTACCCTTTTCCCATGAAATTGCTTTCTAGCACTTTGGCCACTTGACTGTGCTTGTATAGGGCTATTTCTGGGTTTTCCATTATGTTCCATCGATCTACACATCTATCCTTCTACCAACAACATTATGGTAAACACACTGTCTTATTCACTGTGAGGAAATGGTAGGGTTCAACGTGGAGTAGATCCTTCCACTTTGTTCTTCTTTTTCAGTCATGTTAGTTTCATTCCATATGACTTTTAGAATAATATTGTCTGTACACAATTTTTTTTGTGTGTGTGTATGAGAGAAGGTCCCACTGTAGACCAAGCTAGTCCCAAGCTCAGTTTGTTCTTGCTTCTGCCTCCTGAGTGATTATGTTAGCCTGTATGTTGTGGAGGAGAACTGAGTTCTTTACTCTAGCGAATCTTCCAACCTATGAACCCAGTATGCCTTTCTAATTGTTTAGATTTTATTTTTTTTATGTTAAAATGTTTTTTGTTTTTTAAAATTTTTTTCCATAATTTTATTGAGAAAAACAGCAATGAGACAGTTTCAAGCCAAATTGGTAGGACAGTTTCAATAATTAACACATCGCATACATTCTTCCTAGTGGTTAATTGCTGTGTGAGATGTGGACTTGATATCCTATTTACAAACACCATTAGATCAAATCCCTCTACTCATTAAGAGAATGTAACTATTTATCTATCCTAACCACTTTGAATACACAGGTACAAAATGGACATTCATCTGTATCCCCCTTTTTTTGTTAAGTTCCATCATTTAAATATTATAGGTGTGTAAACTTAGCAAAATATTCTAAAAGAGTCCAGTAATCCATAATAGTATTGGGTCTTCCGCTTGACTGGCCATGTCAGAAATTGTTGACCTGAGTCCCCTACAGCTCAACATAACAACTTGGCTTTACTTCTTTTTTTTTTTTTTTTCAGACCTAGAAATGTTTTATTTTTAAGAGGAAACAAACAGCATTAACACACATCCAAAAGCCAGCACAAGGGTTCACTGGGTTTTGCAAGAGAACACGGCCCTCGGGCAGCAGGTGAGCAGGGGAACCACTGATGGAGGACCGCAGCTGGTGCTGACCCCACCAGACCCCGAAACAACAGGCAGGGGACGCTGAGGCCCTTCCCCCTACTCCGATGTGCTCTCATTCTGCTGTCAAGAATCACCGGATCATTTTACAAAGAACTTTTTTATATCAAAAAACACTTTCAGAAGTCCAAATCAGATTCAAGGCCACAGCTGATGATGTTCTACAGGGCAATGGGGAGCTGGAATTCAGAGGACAGCGGGCACTACTCTAGTCACATATGCTTGCAGCAGGAGATATGACACAGGTCTCAATAGAGGCTGGTCTTTTTCATGATGCGCAGGAACTCCTGCTCGTTGACCTCGCCGTCTCCATCTCGGTCGGCTTCATCAATCATCTCCTGCGGCTCCTCATCGGTCAGGTTCTCGCCCAGCTCCTTGGCCACGCGCTTCAGAATTCTGAACGATATTGTTCCGGTCTCATCATCATCGAAGAGCTTGAAAGCTTTCAGGATTTCTTCCTTGGTATCTTTCTCAGACATTTTCTGAGTCATCATGGTCAGAAAGTCGCTGAAGTTCATTTTGCCTGTCCCCTCCTTGTCAATTTCGCTGATCATTTTCTGGATTTCTTCTTTCCTGGGCTCAAAGCCCAGCGCTCTCATTGCCACCTTTAG